AACAGTAACTTCAGATTCATCTAGTTTAGTTCTTTTTCTTTCATCAGCTAGGTAATCATGGATAATGAGCAATGTTGAGTTGGTAGAGTTGGCTGTCTCTGTTTGTTGACCAGGAGTTAATGCTTGTAATACTGCTAACAAGGGTTGAATTTGAGATAGAAAATTAATCTGGTTGGCATTATTAGTATTTATTGGTATTTATCTAGGAGGAGGAGGATTATTTCTCACAGGATTGTTGCCATTATTATTTGGTCAGTTATTTTGATTATTCCAGTTTGACTAATTTCTGATGCCATTTTGTCGATAAGAGCTGGTATTATAGGATTTGTTATAATTTCTTGATAGGTGTCCAATCTCATTACAGTTGTAACAAATTGGTGGTTGGTAGTTGTTGTTACGAAAATAGTTTTGATTATTGCTTCTTGGTTGGAAAGCAGATTTTTTTGGTGCTTCCAGACTATCTAATCTACTGATCAGATTTTGGAGTACAATTGTAAGCTGAATAAAATCAGATGTTGATCTGCTCTGGATTTGATAATATGTGGTAGTTGGTTCTTCTGAGTTGGCTTTTTCAATAATTTTGGCTACATAAATGATATTTGGTAGTGTTCCATCAGCATTTATTCTAATCCATTTGTGAATTTCTGGTTTAAGATCTTACTTATAGATTCTGGTTTTGTAATCATCTGGGTAAGCATTGGTAGGATCCACTTTCTTCAAGAGTGCATTGAACTGATTAATATATTCATCGATGCTTTTAGTTTGTTGAAGAGTCTCAAGTTCATTTTGCCATTGTTTAACTTTGCGAGGGGTATGGAATTTTAAGACAAAGTGATATTTGAAATCATGTTCATCATTTTCATGATTTGTCCAGTCAGTTAAGACAAGAACATTATTGATAGCTCTTTGATTAAACCATGCAGCAGCAGCACCTTCCAAGTATCCACGTACTATTTGGATTTTATAGACATCAGTGACTCCATTGGCAGTGGCAGCAACTTCAAAGTCTCTGAGTCATTCAACAGGATCTTGATCATCACCTTTGAATTTGCGGATTGGAATATGATTCTTCTTAGCTCTCAGTCCAACAGTGAGAGTGGCAGTAAGAGCATTCAGTTCATTGAGAATATCATTTAGTTCAGCAACTATTTCTTCATTGTCTGATTCTTCAGTTACTTCTTCTGGTTCAGAGTTTAATTCTTCTTCTGATAATTGTTCTTGATCAAAAATATCTAGTTCCTCTTCAGTATCAGTTTGTATAATTAGTTGTTCTTGGAAGTCAATGTCTTGTTGTTCTTCTACTGGTTGTTCTTCTACTACTTCGATAATTATTTGTTGGTCTTCTGTTATTTTGATATTGCTGACAGTTTCAGAGTAATAGTCGTTAGATATGTTGGAATCTTCTTCAAATTCCAAGTTGTGAAAGTCTTCAAGTATTCTTTTAATTAATAGTAGTTAGTGATCAACTGTATATTTGTTCTGGTAAATTAAGATATTTAATAGTCAGATTACTCATCTTCTCAATTCTTCAGTTCCAATAATAATAAGGTTTGCTTCGTAGATATCTTCAAATAGCTGTTTAGTAATAAAGAATCCAGATATTGCATCTCATTCTTGGATCCAAGTGAGAAAGTTAGCTAGAAGTTTGATTGTTATATCAGAAGGTGGAAAACAAATATTATAATAGTATTGTTGATTTATTTGAGGTGTTGTATCTTGATGTTGAACTTCAAGGTGAGTGTTGAGATGTGAGCTAATAGATTCTCCAATAAAGTTATAATAATCATTCATAAAGGGAATTAAATATAAAAAGAGAATTTTTGGAATTAGATCTTCATAGAGATTTGGTTTTTAGGGGATGTAATTCACAGAGGATTCAGTTTCTGGGGGGTTTAAATTTTATTCCACAGAAATTTGATTTCTAGGAGACTTTTAAATTTTCACAGAGAGGGCACCAAAATGTTACAAGTTTGTTTACTAATCGTTAAATTAGCTTACAAACGAGAATCCGAGTTGGAAGAGGATCTAAACTGATAAAGAAAATATTAAGAGAGAAAAGGTATATCTAAGACCTATGTCAATTTCTATGGAAATTGTGTTTACTTGAAAAGAAATAATAATATAGAAGAGTTATGGGAAAGTAAAGATCAAAGAGAAGAAAGAATAAAGGAATTTTAAAGAGGAATTCTATACTAGCATAAAGTTTTCTAGAATTTTAAGGTAATAAAACTAGTAATAACAATAACAAAGACTTTTTCACTTTGTTCTTTTCACGAGTGAGGAATATTTGTTAACAATTAAAAATTCAAATAACAAAAAGTAAAAATACTTATAAATCCAATTTCAATAATTTCCAATATTGCGATTTGTTCAGCACAATACAATATAAAGCTCAATAATCCAATAACAGCGATTTGTTCAACACAATACAATATAAAGCCCAAAGTCAATAACAGTGATTTGCTTAGTGCAATACGATATAAAGTCATTAGTGATTTGATAAATTCAATACGATATAAGATCACTTATATAAGATTTGAAGTGTATAAAGAAAATATGAGAGGTGAGAAGTATTTGGAAGAAGGTTTTTGTTAAGAGAGATTTTTATTTTCAGTTACAACATGTCGAGTTAAGAATCAGACAGCGTCTCTATTTATACATTTTCCGAAAATACAATTTCAAAATATAATAACTAATTAATTTAATAAAAGAATAAAACAAATAATAAAAAGTAATTGAAAATGATGAAAAGTAATCAGAAAATGATGAAAAGTAATTAAAAATGATAAAATGTAATCAAAAAATGATGAAATGTAATCAAAAAAAATAATGAAATGTAATCAAAAAAATGATGAAATGTAATCAAAAATGATGAAAAGTAATAAAAAAATGATAAAAAAGTAATCAGAAAATGATAAAATGTAATCAAAAATGATAAAAGTAATTAAAAATGATGAAAAGTAATTAAAAATGATGAAAAGTAATCAAAAAATGATGAAAAGTAATTAAAAATGATGAAAAGTAATCAAAAATGATGAAAAATAATCAGAAAATGATGAAATGTAATCAGAAAATAATAAAAAGTAATTGAAAATGATAAAAAGTAATTAAAATGATGAAAAGTAATTAGTTTAGAAGGATTTTGTTATTATATGAATATTTTTGAATATTTTGTATTTTTCAATTATTTTTGAAATTAATGATTTTTATGTTACTACTATAACAATAGCATTAGGAATTTAATAAATAAGATCAATAATTTAAACTTTATTAATAATTTAAGATTTATTAATAATTTAAGATTTATTTAAGGCAGAAATAAGACAGGTTTAATAAATATTGATAATATGACTGATGAAAAATATAGTGTAAAATTCTATTGGTCGATCGTATAAACACGTAATTAAAATATCACGTGGCTATACTTAAGGAGGTAACGCTAATATAACGAGACCAGCAAAATTGTTGCACATGCAGAATATGGAAGGTGTGCATTTAGAAGGTTTATCTGTATATAATTTTGCAAAAAAATTTCTATTATTTTTTTTATTAAGAATGTTCAAATTTGACCAGAATTATGTTTAACTTAAGATAGCATATTGATAGACCAAAATTACTATCAAATTTTCTTTTAATGACACACCTACACCATATAATAGCAATAGTTCTAATTTTTAGCGTGGTTTCGAAATGATCGTTATTTTCTTCATCTGATAAAAAGTTGCGATTTTGGAAATATTTCATAATTACTGGAAAATTATAAGTAGTCTAATGAGCCAACAATAAAACTTCTTCGAAGTTACTTAGAAATAGAAATAATTTGATTATTAAAGTATTGTGTGTTCTATTGCAATGTTTTAAGATTAGAGAAATCTTTCATTTTTCTTGATGACATTGTTAAAAGTTAACGTTAATGATAACGACAATCATGTACAGGGATTATATCAAAACAAGTTTCCGATGTCCTTTGTCTAAACACCAACTATTTTAGCTTTTCGTATTCAAGAGTTGTTGAACTGGGAACATTCAAAGGTAATTATGTCTCATTCATCATGCTAATAGCATTTGAACAAAATAAAGCTCAAAAACTGTTTTTTATTAAGATTCTTGCATAAAATTTGTGCAATTAAAAGTTGTAAATTTATCAGTTCGAGACTGTAATTTTATTTTTCGCGTAACTATATTGTGCCTGATTGAGGATCAGAATATATCCAAAAACTTTCTTTTATTTCACAAATTGCGAACTTGCTTCTATCTGATACCATAATGCCAGTTGTTAGTAACGCAAGTCTGCCTTATTACATTCCTTTCGTGAAGAAAAAAATTCACGATTCTGATGCTTGTATCGATATGCACAAATATGTACATACAATACATTTATTTTTGTAACTTTCGAAAAAGAAAAACAATACTGCAATTGACTAACATCCCCCCTTGCACCGGATGCATCTATGTACACCCCACCCATTTTGTAATAACAAAAATAACTAACAGCATTGCGTATTTCTACTGTAATAAAGATTAAGGTTAAAGGATGGTTTAAGATTATGGTAACGGTTAGGGATGGTGATCCAGGTTATATATAAAATTGTCTTCTCGACATTTTTCATTAGTACTTCGGACCAGATTTAGACATTTGTTTCATTTTTCATTTTTTTGTGTCGGTTTGTTTTGCCGGGTTGATCAAAAATTTATGCATTCTTATTGGCTGTTTTTTATCATAACCAAATCGGGTGGGGGTACAATAGATGCACGCCCCTTGCACCACCAAGAATAAATTACTTAGCGTGCGTTAGTAACTCATACTTAAAGTCAACATTTACTTAGCAAAAACTAAATGCCAAGGAAAGAATGAAAGACACTAATATTCGATTCTTTGCAATTAGTTGTTGCTTTTTGACATTTTTGTATTTGGTTCACGGACAAAAAAATAGTCTTCCCTCTGGTAATGATTTTTTATTTTATGCGTGTTCAATACGTAACGGTAACCAATCTTACTAATGCATTCGTTCTTCCTTTATCGAAATTATAAAGCTCAAGAATTTTTAGTGAATACCGAAAATCTCCCAAACGTCACGTACTATGGAATGCTCGTCAATTACGCGGGGTTGTTGCCTGTGTCTGGAAGCTCTGATCCTAAAGATAAATTGTTTTTCTGGTATTTTGAGGCAGAAGAATGGTCAAACAATTTGGTATGGTTTTTTAAATTCTTAAATCTATATATATAATCGTGAAAGGTAAAATAAACATATTTCGCATTTCTTCACTAAGATCTTTTGGTTTGCAGGAGGTTTGTATTAATTTCCAAAACATTCGCAATTTTAAATTGAGTTAGTTGTTTAAGTTAAAGCATTCAATATTATAATAACAACAACAGGTCCTGGATGGTAATATTTGTTAAATTATCTGATTTCGATATGTAATACTTTCGTCGTTTTTCTAATTTGCTTAATTTCTAGCGCTACAACATTCAATGTTTTCACTGAGCACGGTCCTTTTGCGCGATACAACTACAAAACGAAAAAATTCGTAAATAATCCGCATAGCTGGCATCATGATGCTCACGTCGTCTACAGTAAGTTAAAATTCGAAAATTTTTAGCGGAATAAATGTGCATACATGGTTACATACTTATTCGCATCGTTTGCTCTTTGAATTCGCATATATAGTCGACCAAGTATGTGACAAACTTCCTTTGTATTCGATATTCCTAAAAATTGTGTATTCTTAAGAAACCTTTCCTTTAAATCACAGCCTTTCGGAGTCGGGTTTTCTCGATATCCAGGACAAACTAGAGTCGAAAATGAAAACCAAGTAATAATCCGTCAACTTTCTTTCATGAGCATTTATTGTATACTTTAGCGCTAATTGGTCAAATCCCCAATGATAGGTCGGTGACTATTTCTATAAATTTCTCATTAACTTTTTCAAAGTTTTTCCTCAATTGCAAGCAAAAGGGATTTACCTCGGTGGAGAAAGGTTAGTTAAATTAGTTGTTAAATCAGTCGTTAAATCAATGAGTATTTTCTTTTTTTAATACTTTCTTATTTCATTTCAAACTGTAGTTATACCGGCTTTTATGTTCCTTATATTGCGAAATCCATTCTTGATCACAGTGAAAATAGTCCATCATTCGACGTATGAATGCTTAATTTTCAATATCAATAATACATTTTCTTGTGAGAAATATCTAACGATTCGATTTGCTTACTTTCAGCTAGAGGGAATACTTATCAATGATCCATTGATAGATCACTACTGGCGTCAAATACCATCTTCTTCACTTGCATATTTTACCGAACAAAATCTGTTGAATTCTACAACTCAAGTACGAATGTTATATTTCTTAACCTCTCAAACACACGCATCCTTTACCTTCATTTTACCTTCATATGTTTATTTTGGTCTCATTTTATTTTTGAATATAGGTAAAGCTTCAACAACAATACAACAAATGTTTGTCATTCTATCAATCCAAAAAGTCTTCTGAAGCAACTGGAACAGATTATTTCAATAGCTGGGCTTCTCCAGGCGAGTGTGATATTCAAAATATCGGTTATTCGAGCATTCGTGAAACGACGAATCCGTAATTATTTAATATCAATCTTGCTTGTTTTTTAACCATTAGAAAAAGATAAAACTTAAATTTTTTGTGTGTTTTAGTTGTTTCTTGGAATTTGATATTAGAGACAATTGTCAGACTCATCCACCACCACAGCAACTTTTCAATTTACAACCAATCAATTACACAGAATATTTTAGAGTAAGATTCAATATTCTATTACGATTACGGATAACTTTAATTCAAACCATTTGATGTGAATAGGATCCGAGAGTACGAGCGGCACTTCATGTACCCGAAGAAGTTTCACCGTGGGAGATTTGTGTTTCTGATGTTTTGGTTACAGATCCTTCTCTCGTAGCAGTCAATATTCTTCCATATATAAATGAACGAGGAGTTAAGATTTTAATTTGGACGTAAGTTTAAAATTATCATTATCATATTCATAGGTTAATTTTCACTCGTGCAAAATTTATTTTTTAATACATGTAGTGGTGACAAAGATGCACTTATTAATCATATTGGCGTCGAATGGTCAATTGGAAATTTAACTTGGGCAGGCGCGACTGGGTTTCTGGTGAGGAATCAAAATTTCAGTTTTTTTGTCTTACTTTGGTTTATTAATATTTTTGTGATTTGTGCATGAAAGAAAAATAACATTCAACCCATATGCAATGCTAAAAACCAAGTCGTGGGCAAACTGCGGACTGAACGAAACCTCACATACATTTTAATTAATAATGCTGGCCATTTTCTGACTGCTGATCAGCAAGAGGTTTCGCGTTTGGTTTTGCGAAATGTTGTGTTTGGTGATCCGGTAAAATTCGCACTGTATTCTTGCAGATAAAATTTACGTATTTGCAATTCGATATAAATCAAACTTCAACTTTTTTTAAAATTGTCATCATTATTCAGGCTATCACTCGATAGCTAACACCTTAAAGCTTTGTAAACATTAGCGTTAATTGGCATTTATCTAAACTGCAGTTATATTCTGCAAAATAAATTTGAGATTTTGTCATTGACAGCAACTACTTTTCTAACCAATTCATTGTCAAAATTCTTGTCATCTCTTGTGAATTCATCGATTCCCATAGGTCATATTAAGTCGAATTCGCGCAGAACGATAGTATTAAATTACTGGACAGTAACTCATTTTCGGAGTAATAACAATAATGATCATTAAAGTATTTTCTTTGGAATTGGAATTTTTCTGATGCAAATTTATAAATTTGCAATTCTTGAATTGTTTCTGTTACCCTAGCTATGGCAAAAAAAGGGTCGGTTCACGCGATATTTGTATATGTCCGGGGCTGATTAAACATTTACGAATTCTTATTGGTTTGTGCCACCAGCAGCACGTGAACCGACCTTTTTTGCCATGGCTAGGGTACTTGATTGTTTCTCAATTTAAAAATTACCGGCCGAGCATAGTGATAAGGCTATACAAACAAAATTTTTTGGTTTTCTTAACCTGACCGGGTCATCAAAACCGGTTTATGAAATGTAAATTTAAGGCACAGTATAATATTGTATTGTAAAAAGCATCAAAAATCGATTATTTATTTTAGTCCATAACTTCAGGACGCGATATTTCGCGATTCAGTAAAACGGATCGAAGCGATCTACTATTATCGTTATCAGCTTTACGTATCTTAATTAGACAAAGTGGATGATGATTAGATCGCGAGATATTGCGTTCCGAAGTTACCGGACTAAAAGATAATTAAAATAAAGAGCCGGTCGCCAGGTCATTTTACATAGTCATGTGTTGTGAAAACCCAAAAATTTGTTTGTGGCCTAAAAGATAAAAGAAAAAGATTATTAGAAATTAAAATTTTGTGTTTATTTCCTATCTTTTACAGCTCAACTATGTAATTTAAAGATAAAAGAAAATTACAAATTTTGAATTTTCTATAAGTGATAATAGAGGAGAGGGTAAAACACAACAAATAAGAAGGATGTTTACTCACAATATTTAATTGGGAAATCATATAGTATGGAACTGGAACAGAAACTATTCATAAATTGTTTCTTTGGTTGGTTAACAAATCGAGCAGAATGAATAGCAATATAAAAAAATAAAAGTAACAGTATATATATCGTTTGTAAACAATAGGTTTGGATTGATTGATCCTCTTCACATGAGCTTTGATTTGGATCGATGAATCTAGAATTGGTTTGGATTCACTGAATAATATAAAAATCGAATCTAACTCATGAGATAGATTGGCTACTTACGACAAATTAATTAGATTGTACATGTATGATGGAAATAGCTTGATTCTGCAATATTAGCAAATTAGAAATTCATGATGAAGGTATTGGTTTGAATTACGAAATTGTGTAAAGAGGTTTGGATGCGTCAAAACAAATCCAAACCTCTGTGTGAAGACGCCCAATGGCTGCTTGTTTATGTTAATAATTAAAGATGAAACCTAGGCAAACAAACGGATTGTAGTTAAGGTCTCTTGGATTTTGAAAGAGGAAAAATTAATTTAAGGCTTTCATTACTATCAAAATTCGGAAATCTTGAGGCCTGTTATGAACCGGATTATTCAACAAAGATTGATTATAAAACATCATGGAATGATGATTGAAAATTAAAAGTTCTATCATACACAAATATTTAATTTTTTTCGAAATATTTATTTAGATAAAGCGAAACAATTATATTGGAGCTGAGTCCATTGAACTGATCCGAAAGATCCAATTACATTATACTCAAATTAAATTCAGATAGTTCCAAAAGTCTAAAAGTTCAATTCAAAGAATCCAATGTTCACTTTTATTATTATATTAATGATTAAAACTTGTTTATTCTTGAATAAACAGGTACTTAAGTTTATGCATTTATCATTATCGATATCGTATCGTTATCGATTCAATTTACGTTTAAATTTCATGATTTACCGTTACCGATACAAATGAATTGGTGCAAATCACATTATCTGTGACAGAACAATCTAACTACAAATGGTTTCTTTATACCATAGATAACGATAACGATAATGGTTCACGTCGAAATGATCAGCATGTCATTTTTCCTGAAATTCAAATTGCAATTGTACCCCCGAATATAGTGATAATTAAAATTCGTTTGCATTTTTAAAAAGCTGAGGTTTTTAGCTTTCGATTCATATAAAACTTTAAAACATTTTTAATATAACCTTTATGATATATTTAGTTATGCAAATAAAAAAGTTTTAAAAATTTTAAGAGATGGTTTTTCACATTAAGTGATTATTACGAATGTAAAATGACCTAATCTAGTAGTTAACAATATAATCAATACATATGAAAAGTTTGAAAATGTTTCGATCAAAAAACTTATAATCAATATGATACTTTTAAGTTTCGCTCAATTTTAAATATTAAATCAAAGTTTTATTTAAAGTGAAGCATTCTTAAGATTGAATGAATTTAAGTTTCAATGACTGATACAAAACATTCTTAACTTAAACAACTTACTGGTTTCGAACGTGTAGAAGAATGGAAAAAAGAAAATAACATTGAATCATTTTTTTGGCCTGCACAAAACCCAATTGAGCATCTCTGTGATGTTTGGAGAGACGGGATTCGTGCATGGTCTAAGCATCCCAAAATTAGTAATTGCAGTAAGGAAGAATGGGATTTAATTCAGCTTGAAACTATAAATTAGTTGATACATACCTCGTAGAGTTAAAGCTGTTAAAAAGCCAAAAGGCTATCCAACTAAATAAATTATATATATTAATACTGTTTTTAATGAGCTTTATTACATTAAATTTGCTTTAATATTCTGATCATTTCGGACGAAAACTTTGTCCACCCACTGTACATGTACATGCAGTATCGGTATAGGTAAAAGTTGATTCGAGAACACCCCAATGAATTGAATTTTTTAACGGGGTGGGTTGACTGCTAACTTCGTCTCAATTATATATACATGTACTTTGTAATTAAACATGTCCGAAATTATCAACAAAAAGTTAATGATCGAAAAAAATAGATGTGCTTACAACGTCTTCGTATCCATCTATTCTATCGACAAATAGCAACAATAATAATTTATCTAAGTTGAAAATATTGAACAAATCAAAAGAAATTGAACTTTTTGAGGATAATAGCTTGGCAAAAAGCAACCAACTGAATACGAAAAGAACCAACAACGGCTATTAACGACCAAAGACAGTGTAAGGAAAAAGGTTAAGTCGAAAAAAAGACCCAGAACAAACGATGACTCCGTCAATGATCAAATGGGACGGACGTTAACATTGCCATCTTCATCCATTCCAGCAAATATAAATGAAAACAATCATACGTTAGCTGCAGCCACTTATTCGGATCAAGTAGAAAGTAATTTAGCAGCATCTTCATTTACTATAGCAAAAAGCATAACTGAAAGTCAAATCATGAATCAGAAACATATTGGCTCGGTAAAAATAAGTGATGCCGCGACACAATATTTAATCGGAACATTATGCTATAATGAGAATATGATAAAAAAGATGAAAGAAAAACATTTGAGTGGTATTTGAAATCGGCAGAATTTGGAGATCCTCAAGCACAATATAATCTTGCTTTCTGCTATAAAAATGGAAAAGGAACAATCAAAAATGAACAAAAAGCATTTGAGTGGTATTTGAAATCGGCAGAGTCTGGAGATCCCCAAGCACAATTTAATTTAGCTCTCTGTTATGAAAAGGGGAAAGGAACAATCAAAAATGAACAAAAAGCATTTGAGTGGTATTTAACATCGGCAGAGTCTGGAAATCCTAAAGCACAATATAATCTTGCTCTCTGTTATGAAAAGGGGAAAGGAACAATCAAAGATGGACAAAAAGCGTTTGGTTGGTATTTAAAATTGGCAGAGTCTGGAAATCCTAAAGCACAATATAACCTTGCTCTCTGCTATAAAAATGGAGAAGGAACAATCAAAGATGATCAAAAAGCATTTGAATGGTATTTGAAATCGGCAGAGTCTGGAGATCCCCAAGCACAATTTAATTTAGCACTCTGTTATAACAAGGGGAAAGGAACAATCAAAAATGAACAAAAAGCATTTGAGTGGTATTTAAAATCAGCAGAGTCTGGAAATCTTAAAGTACAATATAATCTTGCTCTCTGCTATAAAAATGGGGAAGGAACAATCAAAGATGATCAAAAAGCATTTGAGTGGTATTTAAAATCGGCAGAATCTGGAGATCCTCAAGCACAATTTAATTTAGCTCTCTGTTATGAAAAGGGGAAAGGTACAATCAAAAATGAACAAAAAGCATTTGAGTGGTATTTAAAATCGGCAGAGTCTGGAAATCTTAATGCACAATATAATCTTGCTCTCTGCTATAAAAATGGAGAAGGAACAATCAAAGATGAACAAAAAGCATTTGAGTGGTATTTAAAATTAGCAAAATCTGGAGATTCTGAAGCACAATATAATCTTGCTCTCTGCTACAAAAATGGAGAAGGGACAATCAAAGATGAACAAAAAGCATTTGTGTGCTATTTAAAATCGGCAGATTCTGGAGCTCTTCAAGCACAATTTAATCTAGCTCTCTGTTATGAAAAGGGGAAAGGAACAATCAAAGATGATCAAAAAGCATTTGAATGGTATTTAAAATCGGCAGAGTCTGGAAATCCTAAAGCACAATATAATCTTGCTCTATGTTATGAAAAGGGGAAAGGAACAATCAAAGATGAACAAAAAGCATTTCTGTGGTATTTAAAATCGGCAGAGTCTGGAAATGCCAAAGTACAATATAATCTTGCTCTCTGTTATGAAAAGGGGAAAGGAACAATCAAAGATAGACAAAATGCATTTGAGTGTTATTTAAAATCGGCAGAGTTTGGAAATCCTAAAGCACAAAACAATCTTGCTCTTTGCTATACAAATGGACAAGGAACAATCAAAAATAAACAAAAAGCCTTTGAGTGGTATTTAAAATCGGCAGACTCTGGGAATCCTAAAGCACAATATCATCTTGCTCTTTGCTATAAAAATGGAGAAGGAACAATCAAAAATGAACAAAAAGCCTTTGAGTGGTATTTAAAATCGGCAGAGTCTGGAGATCATCAAGCACAATTCAATCTTGCTCTATGTTATGAAAAGGGGAAAGGAACAATTAAAGATATAAAAAAAGCATTTGTGTGGTATTTAAAATCAGCTGAGTCTGGAAATCCTAACGCACAATTTAGTCTTGCTCTCTGCTATTCAAATGGAGAAGGAACCATCAAGAATAAACAAAAAGCATTTGAGTGGTATTTAAAATCGGCAGAGTCTGGAAATCTTGACGCACAAAATAATCTTGCTCTTTGCTATACAAATGGGGAAGGAACAATTAAAAATGAACAAAAAGCATTTGAGTGGTATTTAACCTCAGCGGAATCTGGAAATCCTAACGCACAATATAACCTTGCTCTCTGTTATAAAAATGGAGAAGGAACAATCAAAAATGAACAAAAAGCATTTGAATGGTATTTAAAATCGGCAGAGTCTGGTAATTCTAAAGCACAATATAATCTTGCTCTCTGTTATGAAAAGGGGAAAGGAACAATTAAAGATATAAAAAAAGCATTTGAGTGGTATTTAAAATCAGCAGAGTCTGGAAATCCTAAAGCACAATATAATCTTGCTCTCTGTTATGAAAAGGGGAAAGGAACAACCAAAGATGAACAAAAAGCTTTTGAGTGGTATTCAAAATTAGCAGAGCCTGGAAATCCTAACGCACAATATAATCTTGCTCTCTGCTATTCAAATGGAGAAGGAACAAGCAAAAATGAACAAAAAGCATTTGAGTGGTATTCAAAATCGGCAGAGTCTGGAAATCCTAACGCACAATTTAGTCTTGCTATCTGCTATAAATATGGAAAAGGAACAATCAAAAATGAACAAAAAACATTTGAGTGGTATTTAAAATCGGCAGAGTCTGGAAATCTTAACGCACAATATAATCTTGCTCTCTGTTATGAAAATGGAAAAGGAACAATCAAAAATGAACAAAAAGCATATGAGTTCTTATTAAAATCGGCAGAATTGGGTAATGTTCGATCCAGAGTGTTTTTGAGATTTAGTTATGAAAAAGATTACAATAAAAATTATGAACATCTTTTATTCAAATATCTTTTTCATTCAGCAAATGATGGTAATTCACTTTCACATTATCGACTTGGCTTATGTTATGAATATGGAGAAGGCACAGAAAAAGATGACTACAGAGCATTTGAGTGGTATTTAAGAGCAGCAGAGTTTGAACATAGTAAAGCTCAGTTTAACCTTGGGAAATTTTATGAACATGGAATAGGAGTTGAACAAAATCTCGATATGGCTTTAAAATGGTATCAAAAGGCTGAAGCAAACGGACACGATCGAGCTGCCGAAATGGTTGAATCCTTTAACTTTGAAAAAATTTATTCTAATTCTTAGTTAAATATTTTTACTCATGTGAATTGACTTTACGGCCTATTGAATCGACTTTATTACTAACGCTATGGAATGCGAAGTAGGGCTTAAAAAAGAAGATTTGCATGAGTAAAAGAGCATTAACTGTGAATAATTGAGAGCCAACCAAATTACGTATAAAATTAGATGAGCTAAATGTTATAAAGCAAAATTGTAACTGTAGAGATTTTTTCACTATTTTATATATAAGATGTACCTACTTATTTCCGTGCATTTTTTTAGCACAAAATTTTTATATAAAATCTATCACTTTAATCCTAACTTTAACTCTAACATGTCCTATTTCTGTGCATCTATAATATTTTTCATTATATACTAAATTAAAATTATATTATATATTTTTTGGGTTTGTTTCTTATTATTTATTTATTTATTGTGTGATTAATAATATCAATTTTTTTTAATCTTGTACTATTCTAAGCCTAAATTAGATTTTTATTAATAAATCTTGAGATATTTGCAAGAAAATAAGCTCTCATATTTTATTTATATTATAAATTGTTATTAAAAATACATGGAAATAAAAATGCTAGAAAGTTAATTTTCGTGTTCGGTTACATGTGTGAGCCACTGTATTACAATTACATTCCGAACAACTCTACTTAGACACAAATACAAATGTCTTAGTAAAAATAAAAGTTATTAACGAAAAACTATTTTACGATTTTCGGATCAAACCCGATCCGAATCCGACCTGACCCGAAATTATCAGTTTGGGTTGACCTTAAACTAATGATACCTGACGAAACTATTTTCATGATGACGAAACATTTCGTCACATCATTCGTCAGACGAAACCCCTGACGATGACGAAACCTGTGACGAGTGACGAAACTAGTGACGAAACCTTCTGACCAATCAAAATAATAGCTTAATCACATGATGATTGATGAGGTCATAAACGATCAAAATTATGCTGAATTTTGGCTAGCATTACAAAAAGTGTATAATTTTAATATATATCTCTGGTAAAAAATAAACCAATAAATTGATAACGATAAAGTTTGACTTGACCTATTGTTTTTACGGTCTAGTTTGCCAAAATTGTCATTCGTCAGACGATTTGTCATCCGTCACTTACATTTCCAAAGTGGCGAAAGGTTTTGTGGAAATCAATACATGTACACGGATTATTGATATTTAAATACATGTACGTATGCATTTTGCGCATTCGTTCATATACAAAAATGTCCGGCATCAACTAGTATTTATTGGTCAGAAGGTTTCGCCATAGGTTTCGTCAGGTTTCGCCATTCGTCACAGACATTTTCAAAATGGTCGTGACGAAAGATTTCGTCAAATTGACGTGGCGAAATGTTTCGTCATCGTCAAGCATCATTACCTTAAACCCGACCCGACCGGACCCAAACAGAGCTTTACTCTATAGTCACTCTATTTTGCTTTCCCATAAGGTGTACCCACCTATTTTCGTGCATCTTCTTATTTTCATGCACTCAATATCTCAAAATTTTAGGTTATTAAGTAAATGTGTTTAGAATGAAATTCTAAATATATTTGTATTTTTTAATATGAATAAAATTTGAGATCTATTTTTCATATATACACATATCTTTATGTACTGAGTATCTCAGGATTTAATTATAAAAATCTAGACTATTGATTAAATATGTTTAGAATATGAATTTAGGTGTATTTGGGACAAAATAAAAAGTGTTCATTTGAAACCTGAAACCTCTAATATTTTTTAAAAATAATTTGACAACAGATAATTTTGTGAAATAGTGTGGTTTAAATCAAAATTTACAATTAGTAAATTTCTCACATTGAAGAACTTTTTTTCTATGACGGATCCAAATTTGAACCACTAATTAAAAATGTACTACTCTATGAAATCTATCTATTTTACCTATTTACCAGTTTTCATACAAATTGGCCCCAAATTCACCGATATTTGAGGACCGAATCTATGCTAGGAGCATTGATTCATGTATTAATGCTCCTAGCATAGATTTAGACTTTAGGATCTTAAATGAACACTTTTTTTATTTTGTCCAAACTAATAGTCATGGAAATAAAAATGCTAAAAAGTTAATTTTCGTGTTCGGTTACATGTGTAAGCCACTGTATACCCACAAATTTTTGTTTAATATTGAGAAATCCAACCCGATCCGAAATGAGCGTTCTGGGTCGGGTCACAGATTGGACCTGACTCGGTTGGAGCACTACTATAGAGTGATGTGACTATAAATGGGTGAGACCATAAAGGAGTTGACTGTATTACTATTTTTCGTTCCACATGTGCATGCACATATGTCTGGTATGGTGGTTACTTTAGATCACTAAATTGCTAATTTCAACCGCACATGTTAGGTCATGTTCAGTAGATAGGTTCTCCTTTAATTGTTCAATCATTCTTTTAAGATGGCTGTTGTATAACAACACTTTTCCAAAAGCAATAACAGTTTTCTTGTTATTCTGAATAACGGAGGTTCGATTCAGGCCAGTTACCAATTCTGGTGATTTGATGGTCCATGATCATTTAATGATTTTATTTCATATGAAGGGATCCACCAAACCAAGAATATCCAACCAAAATCCCAAATTAAAATCTGAAAAATTTAAAATAAATCGTGTGAATTATCGTCTACTATGTATTCGTTATTATCTACGCAATTTTGTTATGTTACTTGTCAACTCCAAATCATCTATCGCTATAGTATTGTGATTTCATCACTAACTATGTTGGTTTTTCATTATAAGTGTCATATTTTTCTCATTGTAATTGCCAATATTTGCATAATATTCAGGGGGATATAAAAAGTATTGGACACTTAACGTGATATAAAAAGAGGCACGTATCGTTACATCTCATTGCCAGTTGAGCTCTAATTTTTTTTTTAGTTATAACATAAATCACATTATTTGTAAGTTACAACAGTGGGTCACACAGGCATACGAAAAATATTATACATGTACATTTTCATCGTGAAAAAATTTACCGCATACTGTTACCGAAGCAGCATTAAATTCTTCGATTCCATAATTTTGATTCTCAATTTCTACATGAAAATCCCTCCAAAATTAGTTTCTTGTGTAATGGTAAGTTCTATTGTAAACCAAATTTAGTTAGGAATAGATACATGTATTACCTTTTTTTTTTATTTATTTATATCGAATTACGACCATTCCGTCGTTCTTTTAATATAACGTATATGATGAGCATCAAGAGAGTAACAATCACAATAATTATTGAGCAATCGGGAGTGTCGAACGATTATCGAGAGGATAATCCAATCATCTGGACAATTGAAGAGCATCGACGAAATGTACATAACGATAGTAACTGTAAAAAAGGGGATAACAATCGAACAATTAGTGTTTAGTCGTGTTAAAGAAACCATCAATGTAAATTACTAACCTTGGAATTAGCGTAGTAATTCGACATTGTATATGGAAGCGTCTTCAAGTCGCTGAGAAGACATGCTTTGCTTTGATAGTGCTTTAAAATCGAATAAAATAACAAAGTTCTTACTCGTAATAACAATATTATTTGTGAATACACTGTTATTTTCTTTTGTTTCGTAATCAAATTTCAAACCTTGTGAGTGATTGCAAGTAGTGAATGCTTCTCCACTCTAAATAAGCTATTGAATTCTTTTGAATTGTTATTTTGATTTATTTTTCTCGAACAGTCCGTACCAACAAGTCCTGTTAAGTTGATTTTGTTTTCTTTGTACAGGCCGTATCAATAAGTCCTGTTGAAATTAGTTTTTTTAATCAATATACATGTATATTGTTTATAATGTAACATGTTCAGCTGAACAATTTTTCTTAATGAATGAAAGCTTGTTAACGTAGTAAAATATTGCGTAATCGCAAATTATCTTATAATTGAGCACATGTCACAATTATCAAAATCTGGAACATCAAAATCAATATATATACGTACGCTATATCACACAACCCAAGAATCGATTTCAAAATCGAATAATTACTAGTTTTAAATAAATTCTATTAATCGATTTTAGATTACCGTTACGACGATGATGACGATGATGACAGCACTAACGACGACGAATTGCATGTTGATTTTCGTTGAAGTTTTACCGCCATTACTTTCGCTGGGGACCGTACAATCATGTATATTTGAATATTATACTGAGCTCACTTTATAATTTTAATCGTTCTGAAAAAGTTTCTTGTTGGTTCAGGCGATTGTAGTCTTAGTTTCTTGCAAGACACAAATGAGCCGTTCTGGTTATGACATTAAAGTGAATGCTTGTCGGATTCTGGTTCGTCGTGAAACAGTCACTTATTCTTGATTCCTGAGAATAAATTTTGTTTATACAAACCTTCTATTATCTGTGTCTTCATTGCCATAATATTGGTTAATGCAGCTAAACAGTTCAATCTCAAAATTCGCAGGGGAGTTCTATTTTTCAAATAAGCTCAAGATAGCCTTGGATTTCAATACTTGTTATGAATGTTTCGTTCTTTTCTTTAGTTAGTAATCGTGGTTTTCCCGTTCCTGACTTGCGATTAGTTATTCGTTTTTCTCTAATATTACAACCGGGAATGAAAGAATATAAATGAACCGAAGACTAACGCTAACAATTATTTACAATAAATTTAATCATTGATCAAATTTTCGTATAATATGAAACCTTCCCCCCCCCACGAATTATGCGCTAAGTTTTGCCAAATCTTTCGGCCCAATACTAGATCTTTCGGTCGCTTCGCCAAAACTAGTTGGCCACTAGTACTAGAGCGAATCATAGTAGTAGGATAGGATCAAGAACTGTTTACAAAGCTAACGGAGCACATATAGTAACTCGTAACTAGGTTCACTTGAGGGGAGTGATAACAGAACGATGACCTACGGATCCATTGATTGAAAGAAGTGGGAGGCATGTAACCCTGCAAGGTCAGAAGCCCGTCGGCTATTTTTTCTGACGCCTGTACAAGTATAAAAGTTGGTGTTGAACCACCTTACTCACCTAACCAAAACCTCGTCAGGAACTGGTTGGTTAGGATATACCGTCAGGATACGACTACCCCAGCGTGACCAGAAAGATGCACCAATCAGAATAAATAAATTTATTAGCCAATCAATAATCATCGCCGTCCGATCATCATGTGGGTTCGGCTAGTCATTCGGGCTATTGTTTCACCGGAGGAGTCTGTACTGTTACTAATGCCATTGTCTTCTCTGTGGCCGGTTGTTGACAGTTTGCATTCATATTATACCGTTTATTAAGTGTGGTTCTTGCAATCACTCTCCGCCACCTTTTTGCTTCCATTTACTGTTCTTCTATCTGGTGGGTTTGCTCTCAGTTCTCTGGTTATTTTCTTCAGTGATCACTAACTTTTTCTGATTTGCATCGATATTCAAGTTCTGCCAGGCTTTATAATATTATTGGTAAGTATTCTCTTTTTGATTTCTTTGTGTGGATGACACAGTTTTGCTGCTTCAATTCTAGAATAGAACAATTTTCAACAGGAAGGTCGTAATTATTGGCAATTTTTGCTCTCTGTTGGGATTCTGATGGTTATATATAGTCAGCACAAATTTTTCAATTCACGATTGTCAGTTGTGCTAATGGTGTTTGCTTCGGTTGGTGGAGCCATTCTGCTAGGAATTTATGTGATTAAAATAATTTATTATTAAATAATAATAATAATATTATGGATCGAGATCTAATTATATAAAATAAATGTTTATTGTTACTGATGTATTTAAAACTATTCATTAATATACTTAAAATATTTAATATTCAAATAAAACAAAGACATATTAAGAAAAATAAAACAATTCGTTAACAATATAAAACTAGTCATTTGTTTTATCATCACAATAACAATTTCCCCAACTACTCATTTTTTATTATTATAAGTACCTTTTTCACTATTACCATCATCATATCTACTCTCCCATCATCATTTGCGTAATAGTTATTATCATTCCCATTATTATTATCATGATTTGACAATTCTGACAGCTTTTGTGATTAATATTTTTGATTGATACTCCAACTCTTAAATTTTATTTAAGTTATACAATCAAGATAAAAACATTGTCCATTCCTTAATTTTTCATGTTTGACAATTATTATGACGATTACGATGAGTTTTGATATCTCTTGCAATTTTGAGTATTTTCTGTATATGTCACTGTACAACTTGCAAATGATGATTATTATAATTGTTGATTTCATTTTGTAAATCAATAGTAAAATCTTTTAATTCATCAACCATTTGTTGAAAGTGATCTGATGTACTATTTTCAGAGTCATTGTTGGATAAGACAAGAGAATCAATATCAATATTATTATTTAAGTTTAAATTGACATTGCTCCAATTAGATTCGATCATTAATAGCTTAGTATTAACATGATTAATACATATATATGGATATTGTGTATATTGATGCACAGAGAAAAGATCAGCTGAATTATTACCTGCAGTGCTAATGAGATATTTACATAACATGAATCAACTAACTAGATAGGCTGAACAACTACATATTCATCGTTGAATATCTGTATAATATTGTGCTGGTTGTGATATTATTTTTTTGGCCAAAAATCACCAAGTTTTTTTGAAATCTTTTTTCCATGCAGCTTCAACGTGACCAGCAAGAGTAAGATTATATTTGGTAATTAATTGTGGTATAAAATGGCTAATAATAATATAAACGAATAAATCGAGATGAGGACGATTAAATTAGTATAAAAAATCATGCTTTAGTGATTTCCAATGAGCTTCAATGATCATTGTTGTACGTGCCAATAGAATTATAAAACTAGTAGATCATGCTCAAAGAGATCACCATTCCAGTTGATACCATTCGATCCAAAGATATATTCATAAGTGTGGAAGATTATTATTAATACAGAACTTATATATAATCTTTATAGCAATTTCATAAATCATAAATGGAGTTAAAAATATTTCAGAGGTACTGACAGGAATGTGCGAATGATACTTAAAATGTTTGACCATCAAGCTTAATACTGTATTGCATAAAGATGATAAACAAAAGTGTTGTATATCTGTAAAAGGTGCAAATTTATAATTAATAAAGCTAAAGATCTTATGCGCTACTTCTGAATTATATATATTTTTTTTGAACATTCTTGATTTCATAATCTGCGCAGAACAGCATGATACAAATATCATAAGCATAATTGAACTTTCATATCGGGCCAAATTTTTTTTGTGGTATGGATCTGAGCAAAGTCTTTGTCGATAAAGAGAAAGAATGGCATAACTACTTGATTTTATAATACATATAAATACTTAATCAAATTCATAGTATGCATATTGGGTATAGCTGATGAAGAATTTAAAAACAAGTATAATAATAGATAACCTATACCTTCAATGTTTGCCATAATTGCGTAGAGCTCGAATTCAGCATTATTTTTTTTGTAGGTAGCATCCATACATATTTTGTTATATGTATCATGTAGCAATTGCAAAAATAGCGTAGTGAATGCAAACTCAGAAAGTTCATTTTCTTGATTGCTATATAGCAGGGAATAACTTTCATATTCTTGCAGAAGATATGTTGCTGAAATAAATTGATTATTATCACGATGGAAGAGCTTTTGTTGAAATGTACTTCACCAAAAGTGAATCTGTTTCTGTATCAAAGTATCTGATTGATATTGCAAATGCTCTCAAATTTGTCTTGAGATAAGGTGCATATCATCTTTAATAAATATTATAATATTTTTGTTGATATTTTTCTTTGTAGTTGAACATGAATGAAGTTCATGATGACGCATAATCATATTTTCTGAATTAAAAATAAGTTAATAAATCATGACATGTGAAATGTTCTTGCTTTATATGAATATGTTTTGAATTTGGTGCTATATGATCTCATTGAGATGATAAAGAACAAGTGTACCATCGTGAGTGTTTTTTATTGATACCATTATATTGACATGCAGAATTCCACTTATAACTATCAGTATTCTGAATAAACTCAATAATTTTTTGGAAAAGAAGACTTATATTTTCATTACTATTATTATCGTTATTATCATTTGACAAATTAATGTGTAGATTCACTTCGATTCCAATTGAATTATTTTCACATGTCTCAAGTTCAGTTGAGATGAAATTCTCCAAATTCTCTAGTTCAATTATATTATGCAATAGGATATTATTTTCATTGATAGGTAAAATGATATCATCTTTATAAAGCACATTAGAACCGCTTGCCTGTGTAAGAATCATTTTATTATTATAATTGTCCATTATCGTATTATTATTACACACTGAAGGTAAGTCAAGTTTTTCACAATATAGCTTGCAAGTTTTAAAATAGCCTGTTTTGTATGCGCCAAATTTCTCGAGCTCTTTTTTATTTCAGCAGCATGAACAAATAAGTGTTCGTATCAATGACATTACAGATAATAAGAAAAAGATCAATGAATTGAAGTGACGCATAAAAAATTTTTGAGATGATCTTAGAAAGATCGTAAATTCCTATTTTAGTAATTCAACAAAATTAAAATAAAAATGCAATGAATCCAGAGATAAATGATTTAATGAAAAGTAATATGGAATGAACAGGTGCTAGTTATAATGCAAATGTAGAAAACTAAAAATAAAGAAAGAAATATTAATGTCAATAAAAAAAAAGCTCTTATCATTAAATAATATCAACAAGGATAATGCCAAATGAAAATGATGCATATGCCAAAAAGAGTAAGTATTTTTGTATGGTATCGAAACAAAATTTGGTCTGATCTTAAAACATTTCTCGCTTTTACAGGAAAAAAGATGACAAGGAATAGTAAAAGTTATTAATAAATAAACTTGAAGCACTAATTAAAATATCGGTGACTCTGCAAATGAACCAGAAGGAGGAACCAATATAGCATAATGGCAATAAACTCACTTAATTGTTGGCCAGAAGCTAGAGCAGTTCCTGATAAAAAAGCTGCAACAATCATAAAATACATTTTCTAAGAAATAATTTGCCAGCACGAATATTCTAAGAAATACAAATGGATAATGGCAAGGAATTTATGACATTAATAATCAAGGAACCTAGCGAATAATGTAGAAATTCTTCTCACCTTACCACCCCAGACAAATGAACTAGTGGAATGATTTAATCAGACTATCTGCCAAGTCCTCTAGAAGTATTGCATCCAAATGGAATCTGAATGGAATGAGTATATTCCAACAGCACTATTTACTTGCAAAACACTACAAAGCTCAACTAATAAGCACCCTTCCCCCTTCTTTCTAACGTACAAATGAAATATCTGATTGGCAATCAAAGAATAATTCGATGACAAAGAATTAGAATTGCTAAGTAAAGAACGCATCTTTCATAGGATATTTTTATTAATCGATAAAATATCTGATAGAATCAGAGAAGCACGACAAATATCCAAGAAAGACATATGATACTTGTCTTCCAAAGAATTTGATCTTTAATATTGAAAAAAAGTTTAGTATACGACATGAAGCATGCAATACGGAAACAAGTTTGGTTCATAATGGAATAAAGATATTCATGAAGATTTAAAAAATGGAGTTTACCAAATTTGTGACTCAGAATATCAATTACTAAAAACTGTCAACAGTCACCAATTAAAACAATATTATGAACAGAAAGATTACCCAAGACCAATCCAAAGCAAAAAATAAAAGTTAACAGGGTGAAATTCACACGAGAAGAACTGTACCGTAGTTGATAACGAGAACGCATTTGGTCTGATGTCTCATTATCAGTATGGGCAGAACTAAAGAGTATTAGAACCCATCGCCAAATCATCAGAATTAACCTGGGTCTACAATGCTATGAACAAATCTCGCTAATGCTATAGAACTTCTTGAAGGAATGACAATATTAATCACAAAATGACGCTCTAGAAAGGAACTTAAGAGGTAGTCAAGTGACAATGACAGAATGACAAAGAACCAGCAAACAAATGAACAGTAAAAATAACTGACATTAAGCTCTAAAAAAAAGAGAATATATTAATAAAAAAAAATGTAATACTCAGAAAATGAAAATACCATTAAACGAAGTTATACTGACATTAACATAACTAGCATCAAGAAATCAACTAGACAAATGTCAAAATTAACATGAGCTTAAGGACAAATGAGGTTGAAAATGGCCAAAATCATTTTACCCAATTTCGAAGACAACAGGGATATACATAGTAAAATGGAAACTTCCAGTAGAAAGATACATCAGCACAACTTCAATTATGCAAATTTAATATATTGTAATGGTAAGTTGGCACATGATTATCAGTGTCAGTAACACTAATTTGCATAACGATAACGCAAAAAATATAATAATATAAAAATTGACGTTCAAGTTCTTTTACATTTTTGAAACTGATGTGCATCTTTCCAACAAACATCCCTTATCAACTATATAATATTTGCTTTTTTAGTTATTTCGGACAACTTCAAAAATGGTATAAAGATAAATGACCAGTTCGTATAAGAGGAAAAGTCTCCACAAATTATGACAGGTGCTTTTTACGTTGAAACCCTTTGACAACACGTTGAAGAAATCTAAGAAATAATTGGTGCTTTCAACAAGATAATGATCCAAAGCATAGAAGTGACGCAATTCCTTCAAGATAATGCGTCAAAAGTTATTGACTGACCATCCAATAATTATAACATCAATCCAATCAAAAATCTCAAGTATTGTTAAAACAAATGTAAAACACAGCGATTACCAAAAAAAAAAACTTGACGAATTAAAAGTTTCATGATAATTCGATTATAATCAATCTGGTAGGGTCGTAATTCAAAATGAGGGTGAACGTATTCCTTATTAATTAATTATTAATAAAAATAATTAGTTTTAAACTTTTAAATTTATTATTTAATGTACTATTGTCAAATAAGTTTTTTCTTGAACACACTATATGGGCAAAAATCACCAATAACAAAGTGCAACCAAATCATAACTAACAGCTCAGAAAAAAATACAAGATCAAAATTCGCAATGGCCAGGTAACAGTAAAGATAACAACAGAGCTGTCACCAGATGGTTACCGTAAATAATTAGTCTTCCTGTTGAAAATTGTTCTATTCTAGAATTGAAGCAACAAAACTGTGCCATCCACACAAAGAAATCAAAAAGAGAATACTTACCAGTAATATTATAAAGCCTGGCAGAACTTGAATATCGATGCAAATCAGAAAATTCAGTGACCACCGAAGAAAATAACCAGAGAACTGAGAGCAAGCCCACCAGATAGAAGAACGATAAATGGAAGCAAAAGGTGGCGGAGAGTGATTGCAAGAACCACACTCAATAAACGGTATAATATGAATGCAAAATGTCAACAACCGGCCACAGAGAAGACAATGGCATTAGTAACAGTACAGACTCCTCCGGTGAAACAATAGCCCGAATGACTAGCCGAACCCACATGATGATCGGACGGCGATGATTATTGATTGGCTAATAAATTTATTTATTCTGATTGGTGCATCTTTCTGGTCACGCTGGGGGTAATCGTCAGGATACCGTACAGATACAAAAGTCACAAAACCTGTCGCTTAAACCCCTCGCGATAGGAAATCCGTTTCATATAATTTTATAAAACATATTGGGATTGTGGGATTAGACCATCAACCAATCCCGAATTTGTCGTGACGCAACGAAATTATGGGATTGTTATCTTCAAATTGTTGTAATGTAGATTGTGTGAGAATTTTTTATACAAAATGGGTTTATTTTTAGATCGGTCATAAGATATTAATTAGAGTTGGTGGATCGACAAGTGCATAAAGTGTAGCCTATCGTGTGGTATTGATCGTTATCGTTATTGCTATAACGATAACGTTATCTTGCGCTATGGTACTGTTACACTCGTATCACCGTTTTAGCGATCTCTTAATTCGGAAGGATCGGTTTGGGCCGTGTTATAGGCCCAATATGTTCTTTTGTGTCCTCTCAATTAAGTGCTTACACCCCGCATATTCTCTCTTTTTTTGGTCTTTGATAATCCGTTTGATGTTCTTTTTCATTTTTGTCACGATTTTCATTTTCAGCACGGTTTTCTCACAGATCTCTTTTTATTATCGTTATTTTCACAGTTTTCTCTCTTTTCCCCACGGATCTTTGTGTTGTTCTCTTGAATTAATCACGATTTTCTCCCTTAAACATTTTTTTTGTCTTATATCTCTTCTCTCATTATGATTTCTCTCTTAAACAATTCTTAATTATATCTTGCAGACAATGCTTTTTATTTTCTTCTTAAAATCGTATTATTTTTATATTGATTAAAGTCATGTAAAAAAAATGATACTATTATGTAAAACTCTAAAAACATGTATATAAGAAAGGCCTACGGGCCTCAATAAAAGATCAGAATTGTTGCGTACAGTTATTCGCCAAGTAAAATAAGACTTGTAAAATCACCTCGTAGTAATTGATTGAATTTATAGACGGTTAGGACCTTGACCCAGAAAAGGCAACGTTTAGAAGATCGACAACGGTAATCGAACTTGGTAAAGAAACGCGCGTAATAGCTATAGTTAATAGAAAGCTCAATTAAATTTAGAAGTTATTAAATAAAGAAAACATCTTAAACATACATTACCCAAAGTCCAACGTCAAATACGATATCCGTAGATATAGACACAGGCAAAACCAATTGTTGTCCAAAACTCACTCTTCCAAAAACCGCCGTTTAGAAGAAAATCCTTAGAAACACAAAACCCTCGTAACAGTACATGTATATCACTTCTACAAGTATAACTTCCTCAGCTTCGCCAACAAAAAATCACGCTCACGTGAGCACCAAAAATTAACGTTAAAGGCTATTTATCGTTCGGGTTAGTGTATGGGTTAGAGTGGAGAACATGATTATATGTAAAATTGCCTTCCCGACATTTTTTGTTAATGCTTCAAGCCAGATTTTGACATCTGTTTTCCGTATTTTATGCATTATTCACTTTTTTCATTTTCTTATTGGTTAGCGCTCACGTGAGCGTGAATTTTTGTTGGCGATTTAATATCTCACGTGAATTTATATTTCGAAACTCTTATCTATATTGACATGCATTTGATATCGCTATCGATTGACGTTAAACTCAAAAAATCTTATTTTCGAAGATACCGATACTGTATAGTAATAACATTAACACTAATACATCCGCTCACCATAAATCATAGACTCTAATTTCCACCAAAAAAAAATATCGAAATTCTTTTACCAGCTTCTTTTTATTAAATTTTTTATTAGCCTTAAGAGCAAATGAAGCTTTTGCTACAACGAATGTGGGATTTAAACATATTCTTGCTGTTGAAGACAATTTTTCTGTCATTTTCTGAATATATTTATCCTCTCCTGAAGAGATCCTGTCGGAGAAGTCAAGGAAACACCCGAGCTCTTCAAATTTTAAGCGGTGAGGAGGTGAAGAAAGAAAAGCACTTATATAAACTTTTATGTTAAGATTCCTATCCCCATCCGGGCAGCCTTTAACGACTGGGTTTGGGGCAATGAAACCCTGATTTAATTCACGTATATCAGGGACAAGTGACAGATAAAGAGTCATTTGAAACAGTTTTTGCAGGCAAAACAACAAGAGAAACAGAAGAAAAAGGATAAACAGAAGGAACAGCAAAGGGAAAAGACCTGCTCAAGTAAGAATGGCTCGGGATCTTTTAAAGCAAGACATTGATTGGGAAACGACTCGTGCGGTGGCTACGGTCTTTTCCCAGAAGAAATTGAACAGCTCAAGCTCAAAGTTGTTTAAATAATAAATATGTTATTCAACGAAAAATTGCAACACTGCTAAGGTACTGACAAAATCAAAATTTTCTATGATTTGTAAATTTAAATCGCACAAAATTCACAATAATACCGATACTAATACCTTTTACATATGTGTTTATCGTTATATCGATATACAGTCAGTGACCAAAAAACTTGATGATCGACAAATGAAAATTCGTACATATATTTCGATCATTTTATAAATAAAACTTAACGTTAACGTTAAGTGATGAGCTTTATTTTGTTATTCCTAATTAATTTGCGTCTTTTTGCATTATCCATCTTGGAGATGGAACAATCTACTTTTGAACTAAAGAAAAAAAAAACTTATGTTATTGGCACGAAGATGAACGTTCTGTGTCAAAACTAAGTAAACTCAAAAAATTAAAATCAACAGGAACAATTCAGCACAAAGGTGGTAATTAAAAAAAATTATGGTGCGTATATCAAGAAAGGTGTCAATATATTCGAAAAACTTCTTCTATGTCCCTAAGAAAAATTGCTACTAAACTGAGTACCAAGGAAGTAGACATTTAAAATCGCTTGGATCTATTTACATTTAGTGTTTTAAATAGAATTTTTCAGAATATAATTATATAAGATAAAAGAAAATATTATAATGAATAAAATTAAAAAAGTATCGGTATGTTTAAAACACAAATAAAGAAGATAAAATAGTAATAAGACTTTTATATATTTACATTTTAAAAAGATATTGTTAATTTTTTATAATATTTTCATTTACTAAATATTTTCTTTTATCTTCTGTAAGTATAATTTTTCATTTAATTTGAATTAATATAAATAAGAAATAATCATTTTAATCTGATTTAATACTATTCAGAATCAAAATTTGATTACAAATTTGATTTAATCCAATTAATATCCAAAGTTATTAAATATTTATAAAATTTCTAAGCAATAAATTCAAATTTATTTATAATATAATAATAAATTTTTTTATTCAATAATTTTCTTGTTTAATACAACATCAAACTATTAATTGCATTAAATTCAAAAAGATTAAATATAAGAATAAAAAGTAAACGTTAAAGAGTTTTGTTTTATTCTATTATTTATTTTCAAGTTTTAATATATTTACAACAGCTCAGAATAATTTAAAAAAGGAAAATGATGACTTAAAAACTAAACTAGACGTTGCTATTTGGGAGCAAGATAGTTTACACACTGAGAAAGAGAATTTAGAGGCAGTAAATAAGAACCAAAAAAATGATTTTAAAGTTTTAAAACAATTTTTATTTATATTTTTTGAATTAAAACAATTTTTGAAATAAAGTTATAAAAATATAAAATAATTTTTAATAAATAATTTTGTTAATTAATTATATATTTTTTTAGAATTTATATATTAATATTAATAATTAGAATGTTTGTTTCAAAAAGCATATAAATAAATTTTATAAATATTGTTATTATAATATATATTATATAATTTATTATATTATATATAATTTATTATATTATATATAATTTTAGATTTTCTGTTATTTTTTTATCTTCTAAAATATTATTTAATATATATTATTGTTCTAATATAATAGATTTTTTATTATATTTATAAATAAATATAAAATTAAAATAGAATAATTAAGAGATATAATTATAATTATAATTATAAATATATATAGAAAAATTAAATTGTATTTGTATTTTTATTTATTTTTGTAATTTCTAATATTTTGTAAATTAATAAAACTAATAATATTATTATTATAATATTATATTTAATTTTATTATATTATATTAATATTAGTTTTTAATTAGAATAAATTATATTTGCAAATAATATTTTAAATATTACTATAATTATATAATAAAATATGATAATAATTTTGGAATATATAACAAGTTAATACAATATCAAAAGTTAAAAATTACAGAAAATAAATATTTATATTTAACTTGAAGTACTAATAAAAAATGAGAAATTAGAGATAAAAATCGATTCTAAATCAATTAATTATTTTTGAATAAATTCAATTAATCAATTTTCAATTGAATATTTTTTTTAAAGTAAAATATATTGAATATATTATAAAAAATTATTGAAAATAATAGAATTATAAATATGATTTAGTATGTGAAAAAAATCTTTTGCAATACTAATATATTTTATGGCCTAATTTTATAGAGTTATTATTGTTGTTATTAAAATCTTCAAAATTTATTATAATATTGCTTAAGGTTCCAAAAATTGGATTACAGAGACTCGCATATTAATAAAAACATAGATGAACTTTATAATAAATTTATATTGAATCCAGAATCGAGAACCGAATTATTAGGAATTTAATCTTACTTGAAGTTGATTTTATAATAGAAATCTGTAAAATTTAAGTTAATAATAGATAAAATTTTGTTTAATATACAAATAATAATAGTATTATGCAAAATAATTATAATATATTTGGTATAATTGAATTATATAACTAAAATATATTATAATTTAATTAATCAAACCAACTTTTATGCAATTAATAAATATTATTTACTGCTTTACAAATTCTAATATTATAACTTTAATACAATATTTTGCAACTTTAAGATTGCAATTCAAATTTTAATCTGAAATATTTGTAATTATTAAACGGCAATATATTGTAACATAATTCACTTGAAATTTTATTATTACAATTACCACATTAATTAAATTTTATTATTTATGTCATGTCAAGCAATACTAATAAAAAATTATTGCAGTAATATGAAATATACTTGGTATTATTTGGTAATATCGTTATTAATCCAGAATATATTTTGGTATTTTTACTTATTTCTGCTAATATAGTGTGAATTGCAATTTTCAATTTGAAATTTATATATGAAAAAATTTCTAATATGCTTTTTATTGATATTTCAAAAGTTTAGAGATGGGTGTCAAATTGAGTGACTGTATTTTGACAAGTTTGTTTTTTCGTGATTTAAGAATAAAGATTGATGTTAATCAGGTCTTAAAGTTGCATTTGATAATGAAAAAAATACATGCATGTAAACAAATTTCTTTGTATAATTTCTATTCACATTATTAGAAGAATTTTATATTATATAATTATATAATCATTATTAGTTATATATACTTATAATTCAACCTATATTTATTTCAACAAATTCTTAAATCAAAAGTCTTTCAAAACAACATGTGCTTTTTTGATATATTGCATTAAATTTTTTATACACTACAGTAAAATATCGATATAACGAACCTCTTGAGCTGAAATTTTTTTCGTTATATCGAGTTTCCTTATGAAACTTCACTATATAGAGGTAATTATAAAACAAAGGTCGTTATATCAAGGATTTCGTTATATCCAGGTTTAATTATACCGAGGTTTGACTGTACAACATGAAATTGTTCTTTCAAATTTAATCTTCTTGAAGTCAATCGTTAATTGATGAAAAATTCTTATAGAAATTAATTAATGCTATTTATTTTTTATGACAGATATCTTTACAAATAGATAAGAAAAAAGTTTCTGAATTATAATATATAAACTATTTGTCAAATTGAATTTCTTATTTATAAAGAAATATTATGTTAATTTTCAAAGCACAAATGAAAATAAAAAAGAAATTAATTTCGTCACAACTTGAAAGATTTCATAATCCGCAATGTTAAAATATTTTATTCCATCAGACTGTGGTCATGCTACAGTAATTTCTAGCAAGAAATGAAAGCGGCACACCAGATCATACAACTCACTCCGGAGTTGGTTATATGTTTTAATATGTTCTGGTGTGCTCCATTAAAAACCCTAATTATGGCATCCCACATTCTGTCCTTGTTTATATTTGCTTAGTACTCCATCAATAGCCTCAATGCCATCGGAATTAAATTTATATAAAAGCCGTTATGTGAATTCCATTCAAATGGATTATAATCACCAATGATATTTTCCTCTTTTACGCGAATGGCAACAACTGTCAACTGTTGGACCTTTATTATCACATAGACGATGAAAGTCGGTATTCTCAAATCCATCATGACTACCTCGCAGTAACTGTTTCAATTCTATTAATTGGTTTTTCTGATTATTATTTTGTTCTTCAATCCAGTTAATTATTTTTGAGACCTGATGTAATAAATCTTTATAAAATGTTCCTAGCAAAATTCCAGCATACAGCGTCACTTTATTATAAAAATCAACAGAATTGATGAACCATTTTTAAGAGTGTACTTTGATTGTTTAAATTCGTTATGTGCCCATTTTTCCCTGGAATCGTCACCAGCATCTGCAGCTTGAGAGATTCTAAACAAACTAGAGCTGTTTCATGTGACTTGGTAAAATCCGTTGACTGAAAAATAGCAACTGGATTTTGACATGTAATATCTGTGCAAAATTCGTAATGTTGGGTAAAAGAGTTGTGCTTGATGCAACTTGGTTGACTAAGACAAAATTTTCTGCCAAGATTCAGAGTGGTATTTCGAGAAGATAAAAATTTGAATATATTCATCAGATCTTCAAAAATCAATCAGACAAGTATTCATTATTACTTTATTTAGTAGTATCGCTTCATTTTTATTAGAGTTGTTAATAGAGCACTCCGGATCATATTAAAACAAATAACCCACTCCAGAGTCACTCCAGAGTGGGTTATATGTTTTAATATGATCCGGAGTGCTCCTTACCAACATTTCAAAAACTCGAGGTTCCATATTCGGTTTTTTAAAATGATCAATTTATTCGATTCTCGTTTTACCCATGCATCAGAAAGCGCTACCGCGACTGCACCACTAATAGTACCAGTTGGGCTGAAAAGTACGTCGAGTATTCTGATTTCACCAATGATAATCGAAATATCATAATACATACGTAGTTGGAATTTTTATAGAATTGATCGAGTCTGTTTGAATGTGAAGTCTGCTGTCATTTTTTAGTTTTTCTCCGGATGTGTTTATATTATCGTTATTGGCTTCTTTTAAAACGCATGCAATCTAGCCAAAAAAAACCGTTACCGTTCAAAGTTCTATGTAAATCATCATTGTTATCTTCATTATCGCGCTTGATTTTTTTTTTAAAAAAAAACAATACATTGTACTTGTAATAAATCAAAAATTAATTACAATGCTGTTATAATTATAATAAAAAAATGCACGAAGATTTCGGATGGATAGAGTCACCAATGTTGGATAACCTGCAAAAGTATATTTGGAACAATTTATAAAGTACTGTATGATTACAAGTCATAAAGAAAATCAATTTAAATGATTCAACGTAAATTACATTAAAAGTCTATAAATGAGGAGGTAAAAATGATTAATCTCTAAAGTGTAAGCATGTTGATTTTTTGTTTTCTAATTTAGCGTTATGGATTGGTGCATCGTGATTTCCACCCTGGAAATATATTAATGTGGTGTAGCTTGGTGCTTGAATTGCTGAGTTGAACATTGGTAAGTCTTTCAAATGGGATCCATTTAAAAAAAACCCCATATCAAATTCTTTAGACAGTCGATATCTTTATTTTCGCCGCTTTATATAATTGTTGTTTGTGATAATCGAAACGTGATTTTCTTGACAAGTACATTTATTTGAACAGCGATTGTTTCCTTGACAATCGGTCTATCTATAAAAATAATTTAGTGGTGTTTGATAGAATTGTTGCTAGACTGAATAAATATATGAATGTACATTTAAAACTTCGATGTATTTAAGAAGAACCATTTGTTACTTGAGTGAGTGGTGGAAGATTTTATTCTTGGGGAGGAGAGATTATGGGAATATGAGTGCGAGGAATAAGTTGGATCTAAAACGGGCTACGATTAAACTACTCGAAAGAATATCTTTAACAAGTATGTGACGAGTAAAGGTGTAGTAAGAGAAAGTAGTTAAAGTTTCTGCTACACTTTATTCTTGATGTTCCAAAGCATCAAAAAAAGAATCTGGTTCTTGAACTTGAGATTTATCCACTCCCAGTGAACCCAATTTATTTTCTAATTCCGCTAGCAAATTTTGCCATTCCGCTTTTTCTTTTTCGTAAGCGGTTTGTTGCTTATCGATAACTTCGTAATCAGTTTCGACGATTGTTTCATTATCAACTGCGGATTGCTCTAATTTTTCCAAGTAATCCCTAATCACAACGATTAATTCATTCAATTCTTGTTTTTGCATTTCGGTCGATACAATTTTTGCTCGCAAATAGCGTCCAATTGAAGATGCAACTAATACGCCATCTTTGATGCCTCGTTCCCTCATAGTTTCCATATTTATCAGCTCGTTCCCCTTCCCTTCATAATACTTTTTGAAGTAAGCGTGTAACTCTATTTTTTCTTTAGTATCTTTAAATTTTTGGATTCTTTCAAAATGTTGTTTTTCTGTTTCTGTCAAGTTTGGTATGTTACCAACACCAGATGAAACAATTACAACAGCTGTTAATATTTTATTTATTTGATAGGTTATTGCTGACATGACGATAATAAAGGGACAGTTCTGTGGAGATTATTTTTAGCAGGTGTCGATGACGACGTTCGTTTTATACGTGTACGTGCAGACAATTACGTATCGGTGTGCTATTTAATTTTAATTGGCGGACAATCAGACGTATATAACCTTAACATCATGATTTCATGTCGTTATCGTTATATGCTTGGACACTAACGTTAACAAAATTGCGATAAATATATGGGAGACCATCAGCAACGGTAAATTACATGTATACATGACGATAATATTGATACGTATTTACTGCATAACGATAATTCCCCATATACAGTAGATATTGGCGCCGAAACCATGTGATGCTAATTGGCACTTATCGTTATACATGTACGTACATGTAGTTTAGCGTTAGCGTTAGGATTACAGTTTTTACAACTAAGCAGTGACAGTTAAGCATCACCGGTTTAGGCGTATCGATATCGATATACGTACGTATTTATATACATGACATACTGTATTTCGATTTATATGTTCTGTATAACATTATTATTACATGTACATACATGTACGTATATTGAGAGTACGTACATATGTACATATTGAGTAGTAGAAATACAATATTGTTGAATGAATGGATTGTTTGATCAATAAATTCGACAATGTAGACTCAAGAAATATACATGTACATGTAGAAGATTCAACGTTTTCGTTTCTATTTCGAATTATTTCTTCTTTCTAACGCGAGATGTTTAGAATTTTTTATATTATTTGAATTTAATTTAATTAGGGCAAAATAACGAGAATTCAGCATTTAATTTGACCAAAGTTTAAAGGAAACTCATCGAGTCTTTCTTAAATACTATGGTGCATAACATCTAAAGTCATCAAACGTTTGTATTTTACAAATTGTATAGACATCTTTAAAAAGAACTAAATGCAAAATTTGATCCGTGAATATGATAGAATAAGCCATTTCTGAGCATATTCACGGATTAAATTTTATATTTACTTCTTAGTAAAGATGTTGATACATTTTCTAAAACATAAACGTTGATGATTTTAGATGTTATGCACCATATTATAATGACATATCTCTCATTATATTCAGATCCTTTATTACCGAAGAAAGTGAAATCTTAGATGATAAATCAATTATATTCAAAACAACTTGCTTTGTTACAAATTAAAATTGCATATTTTTTGAAGACTTGGCCAGACAAAGAAAATTTTTTGGCTTTCATAACACATGACTATTTAAAATGACCCGGCGACCCGACTTTTTATCTCCTTACCGTCAACAGTCGATTCAACAGCATTATTTTTGTCGTTTGACTTTTTTAACATTTTTATTTTTATATGTGCTGCATGTACTGTGTAGCAAATCAGGATTATAATCTAAAGATGAGTAATCTAATTTTCTATGAGATTTTCATTACAGAAAAAATATTTGTTTTGTTCACCAAGATATCCAAGATACTTTCCAAGTTTGCTATCAGGCTCCCAACAGTAAATTCCCTGATAAAATTGTCATCTTTACATAATATATCGGTCCGATAACTTCGGGACGCGATATCAAGCGATCTAACTGCCATTCGATTTGTCTTAACTAGAAGGATAAAATATATACTGTTAAATTGCGCTGAACTAATTACTGAATCACGAGATATCGCATTCCGAAGAAAACATAATAGATGACCCGGTCGGGGTTATGAAAACCAAAAAACTTTGTTTTTATGATGTCCTTATGGATATTGCTTTGAGATTTCAATATTTACGTTTTAAGTACATCTGAACTCACTCAAGATGGGCTATATAGGGTTGGAACCCGTAAAAATAAAGCCATCCAATATATCCAATAGTTTAAACTGTAAAGTGTTTTCATCCAAACACTTTAATCACAAAAAAATACGTTATATGGTGCATAACATCTATACTCATTGATCAATTGAATGTAACTTTAAACTCTATCTAGTCTTTCAAATTTGATAATTTTAACTAAACCGCAAAAATAATAGATTAGGTCAAGCTTTATCACTTTACGGCTTAATTTTTTTGTTTGCATAATTTTTATTAGAATTATAAAGGTTTAACTTATGTATTTTTGTTAGATTTATTAATAATTCGGAATGATCAACACTATAATTTTGTTGATCTTTTATAACCCTGACCAAACTTAAGAATTTGATGATTCCAGGCAAAATTATACTTTAATATAAAATTTTTTCAGCCTTCGGCCAATCAAATACCAGATTTCTGATGTTTCGCGCCATATTATGGTTCTTATCAAAGGTTATTTAACAATGTGATTGGAGTGTTTGGATGCAAATCCTTTACAGTTTAAAGTGTTGGATATATTTGATGGTTTATACTGTTTGCACCATAGGATTTGAGGTATATCGATAGTTAATTTTCACGGGTCCCTGGATTGGAACCATTTAAAATCTGTCAGTCGTTTCAGCGAATGTTCTTGATCTTCATCTTTAGGTTTCAATCTCTGGAACTCAAGCAACAAATTTTCTGTGATTGATCATAAAATTCCAGTGATGGACCGATGCCTGACCAGTAAAACTATTATCCTGTACTGACTCATTTGTTGCACTGGTTATTTAATACAATTAATACAACACAGTACAGTACAAGGTATTTTATATATGTATGGTATGAGTGTAACATAGGAAATGGTAAGGTATGGGTTCAGAGCATAAGTTATCTTGAAGTTAACTATCCTGTAACATATCGAGTACTGCATTGTAATGAATTAAACCTTATCTAAATAGTGCACAAACGAAACAGTACAGATATGTTGTGATCCATCACTCGAGGATATTATAAGTATTGATATTGTTTTCCATAAAATTATCTAAAACGCCATTTTTCTTTTGAGAAGAGTATAGTGCGAAAAACGAAATGCAATAAAATCATATTCAATAATAGAAAAGCAAACACAAATATCTTGTGGAAAATTGAAAATTTACGTGCTATTGCGTATTTTCCTTGTGTTTTCGATAGTCTCGATATTTATAATTTATAAATAAGTATTCGACCTTATTCTAAAATTAATCAAAAAAAAAAGGTTATACTGTGAAATAATTATATGTATATTTTGAGTATCGCGTGCTGCTAATTTTATTGTGATACATGAAAACGAAATGGCGCGCGCAAGTCATACTATTTACCGGGGTTGCACGACACGCAACATCAAATAGTGCATTATGAATCGAAAAAGTCGATAAAGTTGTAGCACAACTAATTTATTTGATTAACTGATATACATGTACATGTACATGTAACACATGATTCAACTAAAACTTGTCACATGTATAAAACAAAATTCATCGCGTGGATCCGATAACATTAAATGAACAATTGTATGCATTTAATAATATTATAAACTAGAAATCAAAAAAATTACATGTAATGCAAACTATAATCTTTTCGCACAACCTCACAAATTATTGAATAAACTCAAATGCATATTTTGATTGCTTTCTATTTGTTAAAAGTCAGGCAGTATTCCTTGAAGATTAAACAGTTTTAATTACATGTAATTGAATTTTCGCACATGTGAAGACAATATTTAGCTAAAAATAGTAAAGACGATGCAATCTGTACTCTAATGAAGACAATACGTTCCAAATGATATATATGTTTTTCTTTCAGATATTTTCATTTTATAAACCAGCATTGTGTATTTTATCCTTAATCTCAAAAGGATTATTTCGAATCAAAATATTTTAATAACAACGAGTCCAAACCATTAATATAAAAAAATGAACTCAAACAAAATTACTCATTCTAAGAAAGTAGAATCTAATCACCCTGAAAAAAATAGCTACAGGATTCCTAGCAAAAAAAGAATTAATAGAATTCAACTTCCATTCCCTCCTCTGATTAAAGCGCAAAATTTTCTTAAAACAAAAAACGACGGAAAATTGCCATTGCATCCACCTAATAAGTTTTTAATATACCGCACTGCGTGGGTCAACGAGCTTCACAAAAATGGTTACCTTTTTGCGATGCGAGATGTATCAACAATTGTAAAAGAAAAATGGAAAGCTGAAAATGATCAAGTGAAGAATTTTTACGCTCAACTTGCAAATGAAGTAAAAGAATTTCATTCACAAGAACGACTTCGAAATAATCAACAATTAAGGCGTCCATATCAAGGCAGCAAATCTTCAAATGTTCAATTTCGAATTCGTAAGTATGAACATAAACAAAACTTCACTAAACTAGAAAATTATGAACAAAATCAAAAACATTGTTCAAAAGATTTTGAGTTTAATATTGAGCAAATTCCCAAGGAAATTTTAATTCAAGATCCTCAAACTGAATCATTGCATCAAGCGCCTCTTAATTTGTATCAACCCCAAACATTTGAGCTGTTTAAGCCAGTTGAATTCGATTCGACTTCAAAAATCTTAACTATGCATAATCCAAAAGTAGCATTAACCCCATTTTCTGAGCCAGACAATTCACAATTGATTTTGAAATCACCGCAAATCACAGAATTTGAAAGTTCATTTCAAGAATTAAACACTTGTGATTCTTCTAATCCCACAGAAATATATTCATTTGGAAATGAAATTTATAATTATTTAGATCTTAATTATTTGGCTCAAGAAAATCAAGAATTTTCTTGTTCGTCCGATGATCCAAATACTTTCAAACATATTAATATGCAAGAGGATCTTTATTTTACTTAACAATAATCACTATATTTATAATTCGTTATTTCATTTTTAGATTTTTGCAACTTGTTCAAATTTCTTTTATTACGATTTAGATATTATGCTTAATTTTTAAATTATGCTTAAATTTTAAAAAATGATAAAATATGCATAAAAACTAATAAAGTCTCAAATAGATAACATTAATTATTTTTCTGGAACTTTATAGTCACTTTAGTATAATTTTCATTTCCTTTGATTAACCCCTTCCTAATATTATATTTCGATTTGTGTTTTTATGTACTGTCAATTTTAAACTACTGTATATGATAATGCGAGAAGTGAATATAATTTTATATCCTTATTATTACTTTGTGTAGGAAATTAGTGAACATTGCCGACCGATTTACCTGAATATTTTCAAAATATCTTAGTATCTGGGGTCCTTCTGTGGGGAAAATATCCATGATTTGTGTATAAATCATAATGAGGTTCTTTGAATTCTACACTTAAAGACGCCAATAAAATTAGTCATCTTTAAAGCAAAGGATCTTTATACAAAGGTCATACAAAAAAAAGGGGGCCGATATTTTGTAGCTAGACCTATTTACTACAAAATAGCGACCTCCTTTTTTTTGTATAAAGATCCTTTGCTTTAAAGATGACTAATTTTATTGGCGTCTTTAAGTGTCCTGCACTGTATGTACTACACTGGCCTACGATAAATTATTAGAAAAATTTTCGATTTTAAAAATACCTATAGTTTTTTTATTTAAACAATTTTACTTAACAACGATATTTAAAAAAATAAATGAATAGAAAGAGAAAAAGTTATAGAATATTATTCGTCTAAAGGATATTAATTTAATAATGTGTATGTGATCCTTAGTTTTAATAACAGCTGTAATCCGTCGCAGCATACTGGAAATTAAATTGCGTATAACATCCAAAGGCACTTTTTGTCATTTTTCTTTCAATTAAATTCTTTTTGGAGGTCGAAACAAGTTCTCTTTTTTTAATTTGACGATCTAAATGATCCCATATATGCTCAATTGGGTTTAGATCGGGACTTTGTGCAGTCCATTCTAAAGCTGGAATACTGTGTGTTTGCATCCACCAACGACTATAATGCAAAGTATGCCAGGATGCACCATCCTGCTGAAAAGTTGTATAAGAATGATCATTCATCCAAGGAACCAAATATTTGGAAAGAATATTAATATAACCATCAGAATCTAGATTGTTATTAACTTCTACCAAAGGTCCAACAATACATTACCGACAATCCATCAAATTTTACTGTTAGAACCACACAACTTTCTAAGTTTTTTCAATGATTTTCGCCATACTCTTGTACGCGCATCTGAATGGAAACATCATTCCAGTTTTTCTTTTCATTGCACCATTGTAAATGCTTTTTTTATGCTGAGTAGCTAAAGAGGTTTATGACTTGCATAGTAAGATTCAAATGATAATAATTTCATTTATTTTAATGAGCGATGCTTTGCGATCTTTTTTACAATCCGTTTTAAACTTCGTTGATTACGTTCTGATAAAATTTGTGGTCGTCCAGTCGTGTAGAGAACCTGTTTTATTAAATCGATTAATTGTATCACGTACTGTTTACTTTGGAATAGTCAATAGCTGAAGCATTGCTCTCCACATGATACCCACCAATTATTTGTTCGCGAATTTCTGAAGGTAATTCTTGTTGCGGTAAGGACATTATGAATAGAAGGAAGAATGAATAGTGTGTTTATATATGTACAAATAAAAGATCGAAATAATGTAAAAATCAGAAAATAAAAACAAAGAAAACATTACTCGATAAAGAATAATGCATTATCGATATCGATATGTAAAATCGATATGGTGCATAACATCTAAACTACGTATGTACGTACTAGGAAGTAAACCCAAAGTTGAAAGTTTTGATAGATTGCATTTATATTTACAGTGCTTCCTAGTTAAGAAGTTTAGTATACAAGAGTTTAGATGTTATGTACCATAAATATACAACTATACCAAAGATTAAGATTTTCTTGATAAGAAAATTTTAATCTAAAATAAAATAGATGATTATTCATAAGCACAGTTTAGTCACCTTTATTCATAAGTTGATTATTTATATTGCAAGTCTTTTTTTATTATGATGTTGACTTATATAAATAGTTTATGTGACTTGAAACTGTTAAAGAGCTTATTAGCAAAATCATCATCACTGTTTCTTTAACTTGATGTATTTAATTTTATCAAATTTTTCTTTTATTTTTCTTCAATCAAAAAATTTGAGTGGTTGGTTATTGATGTTAGCAAAATTGTGACACAATGTAGATTTACGAACGTATGTAAAAAGGGTACATGTATGTTAAATATCACATGAATCTGTTTCTTCATCCTTTTCCATCTTAAGCTTTTACATGCTCTCTAATTTAAATAATATTCAAATGCCTTGCTGAGATTCTCTTATCATTTCCTCTCCATATTCATTGCACAAAACAATACGAAATAAGTCTCTTGGGTGGGTGATGTAGTTAATATTTAAAAGAAAATTAAAAATAAGATTTTTGATTTCATCGTTATGGAGATAACCAAATCTATAATAAATTTGGCTGGCTGTAAACTCAAACAATGAATCTTTTAAATCTTGTTCATTAAGTAAAGCAAGAAAAATTGCGAGTTAAAGTTGCTAATTTAAACGATTTAGTTATATATACTTCAAAATAACAACTAATACTAAGTCAATATTTTTGGTCGTTCGTTCTTCAGCCTCATAACAAGCACCAAGATTATATTGAGCAATAGTATTACTAGATTCAGCTGGTTTTAATTTTTTTTTTAAAGCTATATTTATTCCTTTTCCAAATTTATTCTATATTGTACTTTATGATTCAGCTGCTCATAAGAACAATTAGTTCAAATTTAGCGGGAGTGTACTTTATGCAGCGTTTTGCGACATTAACAATGAGCATATATTATAATAATATGATAAATTACCGTTGCCGATAACACAGTCTAAAATGGAAATAATTCACTATGCTAAATTTAAATATATATTTACGCTTATGTATAATACATACGTACGTAGTTTCGAAGGTAATAATAATGGCATTACACGTACATTGTGACACCTTGTTGATATCATTGTAATGGCATTTACATTTATGATTCGTGTTAATATCGATATGAATAACTTTAAACTATATAACAACACGATCTGAATTCTGATCAAGTTTTAAGCTTTATAGCTGAAAAAAACACTTAACGAACAAAACCAAACGCATCGGTTAGATAGAATCGGCTCAGAAAATAAATCTAAGACATTTACTAAAAAATATCGGTATAGAACACCAAAAGCATTTATGGTATTTAAATCAGCAGATCAGAACCTAGAACACAAAGAGGAAAAAGAAGGTGAAGATACGAAAGGACAGTATAACCTTGATTTATGTTATTAAAATGGTCTAGGGACAAAAAAAGACGAGAAAAATGCGTTCGAGTGGTATTCGAAATCGACAGAGAGTGGAAATGCGGGAGGACAAGGCAAGGTAATCTCGGTTTATGTTAT